TACATCATACATGTACATACATGCATACATATCTGTATACATAAATGCATACATGCATACATGCATACATACATTCATACATGCATGCCTGTTTACATACCTATACGCATACGGACAAGCATACATACATACATGCATACATACATACATGCATACAAACGTACATACATATATGCATACACACATGTATACACACATACATATACATGCATGCATATATATGTATGTAATGTGAATCGACAGAAATACACACTTATACTAAACATAGAATTGACCATACGCGTAGCCATCTACATGTACATACACATGTACATTTAGCTGCACATATGCCTATACAGGTATGAAGATAAGCACACACATATACATATACGTATACAGACACATGTACATAGACGCATAAACATATTCTTGTTCTTAATCATACGCATGTAACTGCGTATATGCATAAACATAGACATGCGCGTATACGTCTACGTATACTTATACATCTACGTATATATACACATATACGCATGCATAATCGTAGACACAGGCATCTACATATACATATGCATCTGCATACACATATGCATATGCAAACACATACACATACACATCTACATATATGTAAATGTACACGTATACATACACATACGCATGTACATCTGAATAAACATATACATAATAAATATACATAGACATGTACCTATGCCGATACACACAAGTGTACATATAGATTACGCACATGCGCATGTAATCAGTTTCATCTGCATGTACGATAACGAACACATATACATGTATAAGTAACCATACAAAGGCAATTACAAAAGCATGCACATAAACACATACATTAACACGTGTATGTATATATATATATATATACATACGTATAAAATCATGTGCCCATGCCTATACATGTGTATATATACACATAACCCTGAACATATATAACATCATAAGTGAACAACGCACGGTACACAATAACATAAGAACGCACAATCTGCCTACGAACGCCCTGGCGCGCTGGTAAGCACGAGAACAACCTCCTAGCAACACGACGTATCTAGAACACCACAGCGTGCGCTAATCATACCATACTACCAAAAACATGTCGGGAAACCGATCAGAGGCCCGTCAAGCAAAAACACACACAAACAAATTGTCTAAGTTTGCTCGGGGCCTCTCTAAAGCTTCTCAAGCGCCTCTCGCGAGCCTACCAAATGACTCCAACATGCTTCTCGGAAACTTGTCTCTACGCCTGCCAGCAGCTTCTGAATGACAAAGGTGTGCATCTATATATATATATATAATAATAGTAATAAAAAAATAAGTACGTATCTAAAAAAGACTGGATACATATGTGTGTATGCATACATGTATACAATACATCCGTCACCATGCCCCGAGGCACGAAGGAGGAGGTATAGGAGGAGGAGGAGGAGGAGGAGGAGGAGGAGAAGGAGGAGGAAAAGGAGGAGGAGAGGGATGAGTAGGAGGAGGAGGAGGAGGAGGTGGAGGAAGCAGAGGAAGAGGAGGAGGAGGCGGGCGTGCTGGGCCGGAGCCCGGCCTTGCCTCCGCCGGCGCGCTGGTGGCGGGAAGCCCCTGGTTGATTCATCGAGTCAGAGGGGCTGCCGCGGCCAGGCGAGAGGCCGGCCACGGGCAGCCTGGGGGCCGGCGGCGGAAGGCCGCTGGCCACGCCCAGGTCCCTTGAGCCCTCCGCCGCTCAATACTGAAGATTGAAACTGTCGAGCCGGACCCAAATTCTGGACACCCGAAATGGGCACGGAAAGAATGGGCACAATGCCCAACAACGAATATTGTCCCAAACCAACAGCGGCCGCTGTTGGGCAGGCGGCCTTCTGTCTCAAAGGGACACAGGCTGCGGCGGCGCGGACAGCGAGTCCTGTTCAAGATGAACAGGAACTGCTGTTGGGCATTGTACCCATTCTTTCCGTACCCATTTCGGGCGTCCAGACAAATCCCTGGATCTCCTGGGGTGTGTCACGTGCTCTCCCGTAGACCTTGTCTGGAGGCAAGAGGGCCCCCAGCAGGGCCAAGAGGGCTCCAAGAGGCCCCCCAGACGGTCCGAGAGGCCCCCAAGACGGCCCAAGAGCGCCCCAAGCTGCCCAAGATGGGCCTCAAGACGGCCCAAGTGGCCCCCAAGCGGGCTTGAAGAGCACCGCCCAGAGAGCCACAAGAGGCCAAATTCAATGATTCCCGTTTCTGAAGCATGCTTGCGTTCTCGCCTTTTCGAGTTCCCGACGCTCCAAGACGGCCCAGGCGGGAGGGCCAATGAGAGGGCCCCCCCCGCCTTCTCTGAAGCCCCCCGCATCCTTGGAAGGCGACCGCCCTCGCGACACCCCCACAGACATCCGCCGTCGTGTTTTTGTTCACCACGTGGCTCCCCTGGAGGCCTCCAACATGGGGCCCGAGCAGACGGGGTTGGAAGATCACGCAGCATCGCCGATGCTTCGTCGATGCATCCGCGACGTCGGCGTCGCATCGGCGACGTCGACGTAGACACAATCGGGATCCACATCGAGCCGCATCGCCGATGCATTGGCGATGCGGCGCGATCCTCCGACCCCACCTACTCGGACCCCATCTGGGAAGCCTAAATCCCCAGAGGTCTGGACCCCTTCCTGGGGACTGGCATTTCATGCCGCAGCGTCTCTTGACCGTCCTGGGGCCCAGCAAGGGCCCCCGGAGGCCGCAAACGGCCAAAACCCGCCCGTGGTGATTTTTGCTACTACGAAGGCGGAGATGCCAAGGGCCCTTGGGACGCGCCGCCGATCCTCCCCTGTGGACGCCCGAGATGGGCATGGGAAGAGCGGGTAGGATGTCCAACAGCAAATGTTGTCCAAAACCGACAGCGGCCGCTGTTGGGCAGGCGGCCTTCTGCATCGAGTGGCCAACGTCCGCAGCGACGCAGACAGCGAGCCCCGCTCAAAGCGAACAGGCACTGCTGTCGGTCGTCGTACCCATTTTGTGCCTATTCCGAACGTGCCGATCCCCCTTCGGCTACACGCGAGAGTGACCCTGGGCTAGAGTGACCTTTCGTGCGCGGCTGAACGGGGGACGCGGGGTGGCCCGACCGGGGCGCGCAAGCCGCTGCTACCGCTCCGCGCTCAGCCATCGGGGGCCCCCTTGTTCGCCCGCACCACCGGTCACTCTGGCGAGAGGTCACCCCTGCGTCTCATCGACGGACCCCTGCGCCCCGCCACCCCCGAGCGCCTCGCCGACCGGCCCGCGCCCGCCCGCCCAGCGCGGGGCCGGCGCCGCCCCCGGGGCCGCAGAGGCTCTGATGGGCTCTGCGGCGCGCGGGCGTCCTCGGGGGCCGGGCCGCGCCGCAGGGGGGGGGGGCCGATCGCCAGCGGGCAGAGTCAGACGAGCGCGGGGGGCGGCTTCGCACGGCATCGGACGGCGCCGCCGCCGCCGCCGCCGCCGCCGAAGACGACGACGACGACGATGACGACGACGAGGACGAGGACGAGGACGACGACGAACACGACGCCGCCGCCGCCGCCGCCGCCGCCGAAGACGACGACGACGACGATGACGACGACGAGGACGAGGACGACGACGACGACGAACACGACGACGACGACGACGACGACGACGACGACGACGACGACCACGACGACGACGACGACGACGACGACGACGACGACGACGACGACGACGACGACAATCCCGACGGCGATCCCGACGACGATCCCGTCGACGACGCCGCAACGATGGCGGCGCGGCGACGTCAGCGACGACGGTGGCAACAGCGGCAACGGCGATCACGGCGGCAACGGCGCTGCCCTATGCATTATGCATGGCTGTCATGGGGCACGTCGAAGGCGTCCTCGACCGCACCGCCGTGGGGGCCTCAAGGCTGTGTCAAGGGACCCGGGGCCCAGGTCCAGGGTGGGCGGTCTCGGGGCCCTCTGGTGAAGTCTCAGGGCCGTCCAGGGCGGCCCTGGTCCTGTCTTGGGCTGTCTTGGAGCCAACGTGGGGCCGTCGTGGAGCCTCTCTGGGGCCGTCCTGGGATCACCCGAAGGCCTCTCGAGCCGCGCGGACGCCGCCTGCGGCGGCCTGGTGGCGGGCCCCCAAAAAAAACCAGGGAGGACGCACGGCCTCGGCGGCACGCCAGACCCCCCGCGAGAGGACAGCGCGTCGCTCCGCTCCGCGGGGCGGGAGGCCAGAAAAGGCTCAGACCGTCGACGCTCGGGGACCGGGACGTGGTTAGCGTGCCGCGCCGAGGCGTGATGGAGCAGAATCGGCGGAGCGAGACGCTGAGCAAAAGCTCCCGAGTATAGCTTCGGCCATCCACGGTGATACAAAAACGCCTTGAACCCGCATGTTTTGAGGAAATTGCCAAACGATGTTTGGCTAAGACGTCGCCTCGGCCGTGTCTCGGCCAAGGGCGCGGACACGCTGCTTCTCACGGTGCGACCCAGAAGGATTTGTTTCGCTCTGACGCTCCCTCGGGCTGGACGAGCCGAACAGACCTAATGCCCAGACCGGCCGAATATCTGGCACGCTGACCGCTTGCAAGAGGGTACCGTCGCCTCTCTCAGTAAACCGCAAAGACAACAGCACATGCACAGCTCACAGTCCGAGTCGCTTTGTGTTCCTAGGAATGGATAGCAAGCGATCTCTCTCGTCCAGGGTCTCGCACACTCGAGTTTCACAAACATTCCAGATCCAAGCATGTTTCGTGGAAGCGCTGGCTGCGAGATCTGGCCCATGCTTCTTATTGCCGTTTGGGAATTCACTGAATGTCCTACCTGTACACTACAAATACAGTACACGCTTGCGCAAACGCTTCTGTGCGCGGTGGCCACCGCGCGCTGGAAGCGCTGACCACCGCGCGCTAGAAGCGTCGACACAGACAACTACGTGCAGCGAAAAGCTTGCTGCATGCCGAGGCATCCCAGCAACAACAAAAAAACAGAAAGAAAGCGCCGCGGACCCGTGGACGCCTTCCGGCCAGTGACTGAGGTGGCCCGGCCGCACACAGCTCAGCCCGCTCAGTGGCACTTGATCACCGCGGCGGCCGGCGTCCGAGCGGCCCAGCCACGCAGGCCGCTGCGGCTGGCGTCCGTGATCTTGCCCGCGATTGCGTGGGCGCCTCTGCCGGACGGAGGCGATGCCGAGCTGGCGCCTGTGATCTTGCCCGAAACAGCACGACGGTCCCTGCCTGACGGAGGCGGCGAGGGCGAAGCTCTCCCAGCGGCGGTGACCTTGGGAGCGCACGGCTGCTGCCCCTGGACAACGAGGCTGGCAGTCGTGATGGCGCGGTTCTCCCCGCTGATCTTCGACCAGCCGTGGGCAGCGCTGCCTACCTCGGCCCGGGCTGGCAAACACCTGGCGGTGGAGAACCCGCTGTCCGTCACCTTGCCTGGCAGCGTCTGCGGGGACCTGCCCAGCAACGGGGCGGAGCTGTCTCTCGTCTGGACGGCGGACTTGCCGTCCACCTCCGCTGCCCTGCGCATCGGACCGCTGGAGGGCGTGCTGCCGGAGTGGAACTTGGCCGCCGCGCCGTGCAGCAGGACGGCGGCATCGGCTCCCGCACCGTGGCTCTGGATCACCATGGACCTGGGCGCCTCTCTGGAAGAGTCCCGCCTCAGCTTCGGCGCGCGGCGCTCCACGTCCGCCCAGAGCTCCACCTGCCCAAGGGTGGGCCTGCGCGCCGGCGCCCGCAGCGCGCAGGCGGGCAGCCAGCCGGGCGTGCCCCTGCCGCCGGGCTCCGCGCTGCGGGAGCGCTGGCGTCCGGCCGCCCTGCTGCTTCCGGCGGCGCCGCTCGGGCCGCCGCTGGCCAGGCCGACGGACGGCGCCGGCGGGCCCGCGTGGCTGTGCCGTGACGGCGGCCTCCACGCGCTCACCTTGTCGGACGACTCCGCGTCGAACGCGTGGGCGCTGAAAGCCTGGGAGAGCGCCTGCGACCATCCTGGCAGGTCACCGTCTGCGCCAACGTGCACGCCGACCTTCCCCTTGCCACAGGTGACGACGAAGCCGGCGCCCGCGGCCCGGAAGGCTCCGCCGGCCGAGATGTCCAAGACGAGATCTGGTGACTTCCGCGCGGCGGCTGCGCCCACGTCGCTCCAGGCGGACAAGTGGTCCTGCTCGAGCACGCAGTACTTCCAGACCAGCCCGCTCCCCTCTGCGAAGCCTAAGAGGCCCTCCTTGAAGAGCTTCGTGGCCGCCGCCCCTGACGACACGCTCGGCTGGGGCGCCGAGGACGGCGCGGCGCCCGGACCGTCCAGGGCGTTCCACGGGCGGCTCGGCTCCAGAGCGACAGGGCGAGCACCATGAGGCTCGCCAGGCCCGTGCCCCTCCAAGACGCGCGAGATGGCCTCCGCCCAGGCATCGAGCTCCTGACCGGCGGGGCCAAGCAGCGTCAGCGGCTCCGTGGTGCCCCGCAGGTACACGTCTAGGCCGTTGTCGAGGATCTCTATGTCGTCCACCTCGCTCAGAGAAAACTCGTACGTCGGGGCGTCGCGGCCGTCGCAACAGGCCTTGCTTGACCAAGACACCATCCGGTCGGAATAGAGCACAAAATGCCGCGACTGCACCTGGCCGCTGCGGTTCACGAGGAACGTTCCCTCTTTCAGGCGGGGGTCGTCGTGCCCCTCGTCGTCACTCTGCTCCACCATCGGCGCTCCAGACCAGAGGGCGAGCGCATCCTTCCACTTGCTCGCCCAGACCTCGAGCTCGGAATTGCCGCCCCGCGGCCGAAAGCTGAGGACCTTGTCGTAGTCCTTCACGGTCATGGCCATGAGTCCGCTGCGCGTGGAGCACCGCAGCGACGTCACGTCGACAAGCGGGGCCCTGCCCCGCGGCGCTGCGCCCTGGAGGTACTCGTCCCTGCCAGAAGAAAGAACTCCACTAACATATACTTTTGGCGCTCCGCGCGGATTTCTTGGATCTGGGGTCCAGCGCAGATCCAAGAAATCCGCGCGGAGCGCCAAAAGTTTATGTTTGTGGCGGTTTTCCTTCTTCGACCTGCTGGCGTAGTACGCGAACTGCGCGCCCGTGAGGACGCCGTGCCTGAGGGGGGCAGACCTGCCCTTCACCACCTCCGGCAGGGCTGACCCTAAACGGTGTCTTTCGTTTCCGTTTTGTGTTCGTTGTCCCTCGTGTTATCTTCAACCCACCTTTCAACGCAAAACGAAGCCGAACCGAAAACGGCCCACGAGATCGCCAGAACACCGTTTCCCCTCGTTTTGCCTTCCATCCGCCTCTCAACGCAAAACGAAGACGAAACGACAACGGCCCACGAGATCGCCAAGACACCGTTGAGGGCCAGCCCTGACCTCCAGGGGGCCCTCGTGGACCACGGCGCCGGGCGCGGGGCTCTGTGCGGCGGCGGCCCCCGCGGCCTCGCCCGGCGCTGCGCCGGGCCCCTCGCCGCCCAGCTCCTGCGCGGGCCCCTCGCCCTCCGCGGCCCGCTCCTCGCCGCCCTGGCCCGTGGCCGACAGCAGGGCGGCCGTCCACGCCTCCGAGGGCCCCCGCTGCCGATCGCCAATACACGACACACACGGCCACACACACAGATACACACACACACACATACACGCACACCCACACACAGAGATACATCTATAAGAGTGTATATATATATATGTATACATAGACGCACACACACGCACACACACACACACACACACACACACACACACACACACGCACACACAGGCACACACACACACCCACATAAACACACACGCACACACTTTTTGGCGTCGCGGCCCTGCGCGCGTCGACAGGGCGTAGAAGGTCGGAAAACAGCGAATCGCAATCGCAAAACACTCACACGCGCACACACACACACACACACACACGCGCGCGCACACTGTGAGCCCCTCTTGGCGGGTACTCCACTGACGGGCTCTTTGGCCAGCGGCCCGGCAAGCGCAGCCCTTCCCGGCGCGGGCCGTGCTGCAATGCCCAAGGGGGAGGCCCTAAACTGTGGCAGCTTTCGGCGGGGCTCCAAAGCACCCGCTGGTGAATACGGACAGGAACTTCTGCTTAGCGTGTCACCGCGGCAGCCCCGGCGGCACATTGTGCCCTGCAAGCGGAGAGCGCGTCGCTCCGCTCGGCGGGGCGGGAGGCTGGAGGCAGCTCGGCACGTTGACGCTTGGGACAGCGTGTCGCGCCGAGGCGTGGTGGGCCAGAAACGGCGGAGCGACACGCTGAGCTTAAGCTCCCGACCGTACCCCCTGCGGTGCCGCTGAAACACCAGCGCCGGCTGCATGCTGGAGCGACACGCGGGCCGCCGAGCGTGGCGCGGGCCGGCTATCGCGTGGCGCGCGGCGTGGCAGCCGCGGCCGGGCATGCCCGCACCTGGCCCGCCCGCGCCCACCCCGGAAGCGAGCCGCGCACCAGAATGGAAGCCGCTCGGGCGGAGGGCCACTTCCTTTCACGGGCGGCGGGCAGATCCGTAGCAGAGCCCTCGCGGTCTGGACTCCGGGGCGCGATCCCGCGGATGCGCGGTCCCACGGATACGTTGCGCGCGCGGGGGCGTCCGCGAAAAAACGCCCCGAATTATACGGGGTGCGCGGCCCAGGGGCCTGGCCCTCGAGGCCGCGGATGCGGATACGCGTTTCGCCCCCGATCCTTACTCTGAGATCCGACGCAGCGGGACAAAAGAATCGAAACGCCATGCAAATTCATGGCCCGACATCGTGGAAGATCACGACCGGAGCTCTGAACACCGACTTTCTGCGGCGTCCCTCTCGAGCCGCATGGACCCGTGGGGGTCCTGGGGCCCGAATCTTGGCGAAAGCGCCCAGCGTGAGACCTCGGGGCACGTGAGTAACGATCCAAAACTGGTCTTACGCGAGATGACATAGCGACCTTGCGCGGTGGCTTGCGCGGGCCGCCCGCGCGGCACGCCACATTTGACGCGAGGGCGCTCACGCGCGACCTTGCGCGGTCAGCTTACGCGCCAGTGTCGGCGCCGGCGACCCCGTTTTCTGTCGTCGCTTACGTGCAGCCAATGGCGGGTCCGCTCTCCCAGACCCCCGACATCATGATTTTTTCATGACGTCGACCCCCAAAGGCTTCGACCCGTTCCCTGGGACCGGTCTTTCATCCTGAGTCGTTTGTTGACGGTCCTGCGGCCCCGTAAAGGCCCCCGGAGGCCGAAAATGGCGAAAAACCTCGCACCGTGTTTTTTTCACTACTCGAGGGGGTCTGGGTCTTACGTGTAGTCGATGGGAGGAGGAGGAGGAGGAGGAGGAGGAGGAGGAGGAAGGAGGAAGGAGGAAGGAGGAAGGAGGAGGAGGAGGAAGGAGGAGGAGAGGAGGAAGGAGGAGGAAAGGAGGAAGGAGGAAGGAGGAAGGAGGAAGGAGGAGGAAGGAGGAAGGAGGGAGGAGGAGGAGGAGGAGGAGAAGAAGGAGGAGGAGGAGGGAAGAGGAGAAGGAGGAAGGAGGAAGGAGGAGGAAGGAGAAGAGGAAGGAGGAAGGAGGAAGGAGGAGGAGGAGGAGAGAAGGAGGAGGAGGAGGGAAGAGGAGAAGGAGGAGGAGGGAGGAAGGAGGAAGGAGGAAGGAGGAAGGAAGAGGAAGGAGGAAGGAGGAAGGAGGAGGAGGAAGGAGGAAGGAGGAGGAGGAGGAGGAGGGGAGGGAGGAGGAGGGGGAGGGGGTCTGGGCTGGGCCAAGCACTCGGCACCGCGGCCTCTCGCGGCCCCGCCCGGCCATGGGGCGCTGCAGAGGTCCGCCCCAGGCCCGCGGGGGCCTAGCGGCCGGGCCTGCTGGGGCCCTGGTGGCGAGCGCGCCCCCTTCGGCTAGACGCAAGAGCGACCCTGGGTGAGAGTGACCTTTGGTGCGCGGCCTCTGGGGGGGCCGCGGGGGGGCCGAACACGAGCGCAAGATGTCACTGCCGCATCGCGTTCGGCGCTTGGGGGACCCCAGCGGGCCCGCACCCAAAGGTCACTCTGGCGAAAGGTCACCTTTACGCGCTGCCGACCCCTCCCCTGGGGAGGTCTTGGTCGGAACGATTGGCAAGGAGAAAGAGGAACAAAAAACGGCATTCACATAAACCGTCGACGGTCCGCGCGGATTTCTTGGATCTGCGCTGGACCCCCTCTCTGGCGCGCGGAGCGCGCCAGGGGCGGCACCCGAGGCGCCGCCAGGGGGCCCCAGCGCGGATCCGAGAAATCGGCGAGGACCTCAGAGGATGTTTGTGTCATTGTTCGTTCCCCCTATGAGGTGGGCGAGTCGCGGGCGAGTTAGGAAACCCTGAACCTCAAAAACGGTTTCATCTCTCAGGGGCACCTCTTCTACTCCCGTCGCCTTTCCGCCGCCCTTCCGCCGCGCTTCCGCCGACTTCCGCCGAGGAAGAGATGACAACTCCTTCGATCCGCCCTTTTTGGAATACCCCAAGGCCAACGAAGCCAGGACGAGGATAAGATCGGGTGAGGAAAAATCGAGAATCTCTGAGATCTGGCGACTCAGCAAGATGTCTCGGGCGCCGCGGCCTTCTCAGAGCATTCCAGAACGCTCCGAGAGCGTTCTGGAACACTCTGGAACGGATTTATCCTCGTCCTGGCCCCGTCCGAGACGTGTCCCCTCCCCTCAGAAGGCAACTCCTAGGAAGTATTCGCCGGAACGGTCCAAGGCTACCAAGCCTGATCAAGGGGCCATTGAGCAAGATTAGGTCGGAGCTGGCTGGGATGAGGCCGAATTATCAGCGGGACCTAATCGGACGAAGCGGGATTAGGCCAGACCGAACGGGATTAAACCAGATTCGGCCAGGTTTTCGACTAGGGATATACCAGCGCTCGTTCTGAATTTACCCTCCCAGGAGTTGCATCCTAACTCCCCCGTCCAATCCGATACGACCCTTGCACATTCTTGTTCCTCCAGCGCGCCGATGGGGCGCAGTCCGCTGTTCAAGCACTACTGAGGCGGGACACGACTAGAGCAAGTCCACCTCATGCGGGAGCGAGGGCGCAAGCCGAAAGCCACGTTGCGAGGAGCACGGGCATGCCAGGCCGCTGGACAGCAAAGACCCGGCGCGTGCAGGAGGCAGCGGGCGGCGAGACCAATCCGCACGCACTTTTTGGCGTCGCGGCCGCGCGCGCAGCGACGCAGCGCTGGCAGCCAGTAGAAGGGCCCGAGAGCGTGCGGTCAGCACACACACACACACACTCACACACAACCACGCACACACACACACACTATAACACTATACATCCCCCTCCCCCCTCCCTCCCTCGTGGGAGTCGAGGGGGTGAGGGGGGCCTCGTTCTCCTGCTGCCGCTGCTCCTCCCGCCTTCGCCTCCCTGCTGTGCTGCTGCTGCTCCTCCTGGTCTCGCTGCTCCCCCTGTTGCTCCTGCTGCTCCGCCTCCTCTTCCCCGCGCCTCCCTCAGAGCGGATCCCTGGACCTCTCCCAGAGAGCAGTCTGAGCAGGATCTGCGGCGGACTCGGCAGTGGCGACGAGGCCCCCCCCCGACCCCCCACCCGACACACACACACACACACACAAACGCGCGCGCACACGCGCGCACACACATTCGCGTTCACATGCAGTCACATTCACGCACACACACACACACACACACACACACACACACACACACACACACACACACACACACACACACACACACACACACACACACGCACGCACGCACGCACGCACGCACGCACGCACGCACGCACGCACGCACGCACGCACGCACGCACGCACGCACACACACACACACACACACACAACACACACACACACACACACACACACACAACACACACACACACACGCACACACGCGCACACACAACACAGAAACAAAAACATCCCCCTCCGCCCCCCTGCTCCTCCTCGTCACCCTGCTGGTGACGCTGCCGCTCCTCCTCCTCCTCCTCCTCCTCCTCCTCCTCCTCCTCCTCCTCCTCCTCCTCCTCTTCCTCCTCCTCCTCCTCCTCCTCTTCCTCCTCCTCCTTCTCCTCCTCTTCATCATCATCAGCAGCATCATCATCAGCATCATCACCATCATCATCATCACCACCACCGTCATCATCATCAGCATCATCCTCATCCTCCTCCTCCTCTTCCTGTAATTCCATCCCTTTCCCTCATAAGCAACTCCTCCCTGTCGAACCCCCAGACGTGTTGGTAGGGTGGGCCGGGCGTTTCGCCAGAGACTTTCTCGCCATGTATGATCTTGAAGTGACAACAGTTTCAAAGATGGAGGGCGGGTCGTTTTCAAACTGTGGCTCTCGCCTGAGCGCCGCGCACACTCGTGTTAAGTGTGCGCAGCCGCTTCCAGGGTGGAGGTTCTCGCCTGAGCGCCGCGCACATGTTGTCCAAATGTGTAAAAGCAGTTTCAGGGATGGTGGGCGTCTCGTTTTCAAAATGCGGCTCTCGCCTCAGATCTGCGCGCAGTCGTCTTAAAAGGCTACAGCAGTCCCAAATCCGAGGTGGCACAATCTAGAATTGTCAGGACGCAACAGTCCGGTGGACTCGCGGCATTCAAGTCCCAAGAACTACATTTTGACCCGATTGAGGATTATTAAGGGGCTGTCTTTCAATGATGCACCTTCCGCAGTTCATACAAGTTCTGGTAGGGGACTATGGAAAGGGAGCTTTGGGGGAGGGTCGATTGCAACAACGTTGATGCGTCTTGGGTTTACGCTGGTCCTCCTCCTCTTCCTCCTCCTCCTCCTCATGCTCCTCCTTCTCCTCCTCCTCCTCCTCCTCCTCCTCCTCCTCCTCCTCTCCTCCTCCTCCTCCTCCTCCTCCTCCTCCTCCTCCTCCTCCTCTTCCTCCTCCCTGCCCCCCTCCTCCACCTCTGCGGCGAGGGCCCCCGTCGAGGCACCTTCGCGTCTCCGGCGGCGACCTCCCGCAGCGTCGCCGTCTGGTCCCCGATGCGCCCACGGCGGGCCCGCCCTCTTCGAGGACACAGCGGGGGGGCAGTGACGAGCAGCCCATCTGAGCACCGGCGACGTGGGCGCTTCTTCGATCTGGGCTTCAACACGAGGCCAGGACGAAGATAAATTCGGGCGAGGATCAATCGAGAACATCCGAGATCCGGCAGCTCCGAAAGGTGTCTCGAGCGCCGCGGCCTTTTCAGAGCGTTCGGGAACGCTCAGAGAGCGTTCTGGAACGCTCTGGAAGGGGGTGGGGGAAGAGGGGCTTCTGGGCCTGGGCCGAAGGGTGGGGGAAGGGGGGCTTCTGGGCCTGGGCCGGTGCTCAGTCGATATGCTTCTGCTGGTCGCGCAAGCAGACCGGGGTGGGGGTCATGACAAGTCGCCAAGGGCAGCCGCCCAAGCAGCCAAGATCTGGTCTGTGGGGCAGGGAAGGGGGGGCACGGGGGTCCGCGCCGAGATATCCGATGATATGACTGCTTCGATCTCGGCGATGTTCCTCAATTTCGCCCTCCAGGGCCGTTCTATGGCCCCGGGGCTATCAAACATGGGTCCAGGACTAGCACCGCTTGGCTGGTCCCCATTCCCACTGGCATGGCGTTGGCCCCACCGGCCGTGGGGGGAACGTGCTGCTCTCTTCGGGCCTCGCGAGCCACATCTCAACCTCGGGGGGGGCCGTGAGAGAGGAGGCCGGCAAAGCAGGGCCCACACAGCCGCAGCAGAGCCGCGGGACCGCCGTTGGACCGCAATGCCGAAGCGGAAGAGGGGGGGGCGGCCGCAGCGCAGCGGAGAGAAGCCGCTGCGCAACGACGGCGTCGCTGCGGGGACTCTGTCCGCATCCACCGCTTGGCCCCAGGGGGGCCCGGATGTGCCCACATCCACCGCCCGCCGAGGGCCCCGGAGAGCGATCTCCCAGGTGGCGGTCATGGGTCAATCTCCGCCCCGGAGCTGCCTCTGCCCACCCCCCCCCACCCCCCATGACGAACGAACAACACGCACCCATACCCATAGGGGGGACGGAGGGGGCTATGGGTGCGTGTTGTCGGATGGGGGCCCCCGCACGAACGGGAGCTGCCCCCAGGGTCCGACAACTCGCACCCATACCCATAGCCAGTCCTCCTCCTTCCGACCCTCCTATGGGTATGGGTGTATGTTGTTCGCTCGTCACCCCAGCCCCCCGACGTCATGATTTTTCATGACGTCGACCCCCAGAGGATTCGACCTGTACCCCAGGACCACTTTTTCATCCTGACGTGTTTTGTTGGCGGCCCCGCGAGGCCCGGGAAGTGCCCCCGGAGGCCGAAAATCGCGAAGAACCTCCCAGTCGCAGTCTTCGTCGCAACGCGAAAAAGGTCTGGGCCTGGCCTCCCCTCGCAGAGGCAGGGCCGCCGTGGCCGATGTGCAGAGTGATGCTCCCGTCGTCCTGGGGCGTCACGGCGACGGCCGGGGCGGGCCGGGGCCCGCAGCGGCGGCGAGGCTCCGCCCCCGCCCGCGCCAGCGGCGGCAGGAGGCAAGGCAGGAGGAGCAGCAGCAGCTGGAGAGGGTGAGGAGGAGGAGGAGCAGGAGGAGGAGGAGGACCAGTAAACCGACGACGCATCAGCGGTGTTGGAATAAATCCTCCCTCCAAGCTCTCTCTTCACAAGCCCCTACCAGGGTTCATTTCCACTGGGGGATCCGCCTCGTTGGGAGACAACCGTTTGAAGACCCTGAAGCGTGCCAAAACAAAATTCTGAGGACCCAAACGCCACGAATCAACATGACTGTTGCGTCTTGGCGATCCGGAATCATTCCCGAACGTCATTCCTGTGACTTCAACACCGCGAATCAACATAGCTGCTGCGCTCTCACAACCCTACGTCCTTCCAAAACAGAACTTCTGGCACATTGACCATAGAAATCCGTGAAATTCTTGCAAATGTTTAAGATGAGTGCGCGCGGCACTAAAGCGAGAGCCACATTTTGAAAACGACCCGCCCTCAATCCGTGAAACGCTTGCAAGCTTTTCAATATAATGTGCGCGGCGCTCAGACGAGAGCCACATGTTCAAAACAGACCGCCCTTCATCCGTGAAACTCTTGCAGGCTTCTGTGCGCGGCACTAAGGCGAGAGCCACATTTTGAAAACCGACCGCCCTTAATCCGTGAAACTCTTGCAAATGTTTTAATCGAATGTGCGCGACGCTACGGCGAGAGCCACATTTTGAAAACGACCCGCCCTCAAACCGTAAAGCTCTTGCAATGTTTTAATGTGCGCGGCACTAAAGCGAAAGCCGCATCTTGAATATGGCCAGCCCTGAGTTCATGAAGTCCATACAAAGTTTGAACACGAATGTGCGCGGCGCTAAAGCGAGAACCACATGTTGAAAACCACCCACCCTCCATCCGAGAAACTGTTAACACTGTTTAAGCTTCAGGATCACACATGATGAACAAATCGAAGACGAAACGCCAGGCCCGCCCTTTCGACCAGCCGCGGGCTGCCACAGGGAGGAATAAGCTATAAGGAAACATCGAGAAAGACCCCTAGGGCTCTAACCAGCGAGCGAGCGAGATGAAGTCAGAGGAAGAGGAAGAGGAGGAGGAGGAGGAGGAGGAGGAGGACGAGGAGGAGGACGAGGAGGAGGAGGAGAGAGGGAGGCGAGAGGAGGGAGATGAGAGGAGTGGAGGGGAGACAGACAAGGGAGGCATGGAGGAAGCAGAAGTCTCGCTGCCCCCGCGGCGTCGGCCCCCCCGAGATGGTGGACATCGGGAAGGCCTTCGAGGCCTGCTTCTGCGGGTCGAGAGCGTCACCCTCGCTCCGGTAGTACTCGAGCCGATCGTCGTGCAGCACGAAGAAGCGGCGCTCGACGCCCTTCCTCTTGACCAGCCCAAGGTACCCCTGCCAGGGGGGCGAGAGCTATGCCCGGAGGAGGGCCGGTCAAGACAACGGCGGCCCCTCCCTGGCACTTGCTCGCCCTTTTTGGTCACGCCTGAACCTCGTGGAGTCTTCTCGTCGCCGCGGCTGGATCCTCCCTGGGATACTCGGGAGCGGCCAAGAGGGGGGTGTCCAAGAGGGGGGGGGGGGTGCAAATCATGACCGGCGGCATGTGCGCGGCCCAGCGGGGGGGCCAGGGACGTAATGAAATAAGAAGAGGCGCCATGAAATCTGGAAAACTATCATGGCCCACGCCATGATATCCACCCCCCCCCTAGTCATCACCCCCCTCTTTTCCGCCCCCAAGATACTGGTCAGGATGGGCCACGGGCGGGGTCCGGGGCAGGTGTTGAACGGATTGGGGCCCAGCGGCAGAGCCGCCATTGTCTCCACTGGCCCAGCTCCGACATATGCACGCGCAGCAATGCGAGGCCAGGCCCGTGCATCGACTGCATGCAAGACTGGCCCCGAGCAGGAGTGACCTCTGGTGCCGGGCTCGGAGGGGCCGCGGGGGCCAAATCCAAGCGCGCACGCGAGCGCTGGGTGGATCCGTGTGAGGTCACTCCGACGAAGGGTCACTCTCACGCGCAGCCAAATCCTGGGCCCAGGATCGGGGCATACGCCCTCCTGGCGTGGCCCAAGGGAGGCGCATATCCCATCCTGGGCCCAGGATGGGCCCTGCAGAGGTTGGTGCTGGCGCATGGTCTCGCTGCCCGGCCTGCTGCAAGCTCGTGGGCGCCATGGGAAAAGCCCTCTCTCGCCTCCCTCCGCGTGGGGAGCCGGAGCGAAAATGCGGCTGGTGCGGGCCCGAACGGCTACGGACTGCAGGCTCCCTCACCCCATCGGCCGCTCCCCCCAGACACCCGACGTCGTGACTGCTCACGGCGTGGCTCCCCAGAGGTCTGAACCCCTTCAGGGGGGGCCTGGGGGTCCAGCTGTTCATCCCGAGTCGTCGGTTCACGGTCCCTGGGGATAGGTCGCGCATATCCTCCTACAGGCGGGTACTGGAAGAAACAATTGCCAAGAGTCAGAAAAAAAAATCAGAAACAGACCCCCAACAAAAAGTCGAAGCATCGTCCCCGGACTACTTTCTGACGATTCTTGAATAACTCCTCCTGTGGAGAGGACGTGCCCGACGTAACCTTGGGCCCGTCAGGGGCCCCGCACGATCGACGCCGCGACAGCGCGGCGCCACGACACCACCAGCGCCGAGGCGCTGCGGCTGCGCAGAGCCGCAGCGCCGCGACGCCGCACTCGCAGCAGCGCGGCGTCACTGCGCCGCAGCAGCGCAGCACCCCACGGCCGCCCCGCACCCGCCTCACACGCGGGCCGCAGCGGGCACACCATTGCAGGCGCCCCCAGAATCGGATCGATACGTCGGATCGGCGATCGAAACGAAACGGATCGGCGGAAATCGGCAGCCGAACCGGGAAAAGTCGAAAGGGCGGGAATCGGCGGGCCAGTATGCCTCCAATGAGAAGTCGAAACCCAAATCGGAATCCCAAGTCGAATCGAATCGGAATCGGAAGCCATCGGAATCGAATCGAGTCGAAGGAGTCGAAATGAGCCCTGCAATTGATGGGACGCACAAAGGCATACTAGTACTGTATGTACTCCTTGGAGGCGCGCGTCCGACCCGAACAGATGGTAGACCCATCCTGTGGCAGATCGTTTCCCGAGCGGTGTGGCCAGAAAGCGCCTACCACGACGAATATACTATAAGATTTCTCGGTGCGCGCGTCGCCCTGGGGGGGGCAACGCACACATAGTATTAGTATGTTGGGGTGACGCCGAATTAACTCATGCCAACTCCACGGCTGTGTCACGTTCACAACTGGCACAGCTGGTAATTAGACAGCTGATCCACAATTGATCCAGCTCAGCACTGGTCTCCAACGGGCGCACAAGCTGCTCGACCGTCGCTTTACGGGCGAGCCACCACTGATTCACTCGGAGTCACAGTCGTTGCGCGTGTGGTCCAAAACGGCCTCATGCCCTGACACCACACCACCACGTCACGACAATGCCGCGGCACCGCAACTCATTGGCTCCTCGCTGAACCGCCGGCCACGGCAAGAGCAGCATGACGACAAACGATGACCCGAGCGCAGACCCCCAAGCACCCTGGCATCCCGCTCGACCTCTCACGCGGGGCGCGCCACGCAGCGTACACTGAACACCGAGCTCGAGAGCCGATCTCCTCGCCGGGTGGCCTCGCGAGTGCGTCTCCGAGGAGGGCCAGCTGAGACAGCGGCGGCTCTCCAGCCCTGCCCGGATCCGCTCAGAATAGGTCCCTGGACCCCATCCCGAGGTCCGTCGTGACCCGTCTTCCGGGGCGGAACCGCATCCGGGAGGCCCAAGAAGTACGAGAAACGCCACAGAGGGCAGCCGTTGGCCTCCAGGAGGCCAGGTCGGACGAAGAACGCTACGGAGGGCCGCCGCTGTCTCGACAGGCCCTCACCAGAGCAGATCCTTCGGACCCCTGAGCCACCGACCCTCTGGCCAACGCTCGCTCTTGCTGTGGGCACTCTCCGTCCGTCCGCCCCGCCTGCGCATCCCGAAGACATGAGGATGCGACTGCGCGAACGCTTCTGCGCGCGGCACATCACCGCGCGCCAGGAGCGCCCACGCGGACAGCCACGTAGACAAAAGGCTCCTCATTCGGCCCTCGGCGGACTGCCGAGGGAATCGCGGTGGCAACCGACGCAGAAAGAAACCACCG